ACTTTTATGGACCAGCCAGAGGCTCTGGTATTTAAAAATGAGATGTTTAATCAAACAACATAAAATGAAATTACAAAAACAAGTTACTCCCAAACACACATTGTGACATGGGTCAACACAGAATCCAAGAACAAAAGGCAGTTCTCATAGAGAACATGTGCCCAGGGAACAACACGTGGACTTTATTCCACGTTCCTTCAGCAGCTCACTTGGAACATCATGTTCCATCCCACCCCGTCTTCAGCTTCCTTTTGTAGGTTATTTTCCTCCATTGGATTATAAGCTCCTTGAGGGTAAGGATTATCTTTCTTTTTCTTATTTGTATCTCGAGCACTTAACAATTCCTGGCACACAGTAGGCATTTGATTACTGTTTATTGAACTGAATGGAGGACACATGTACAGAACCTGCGGGGCTAGTACAGTTCCCTCCTGTGATGTATCTGGCTTACCTGTCAATATCTTTTAGTGATGTCATCATGCTGCTTGCATGACTGAAGCATGAAACCTCTATTTAGGGTCATGTCTTTGGGCTGGACATCCTAGTCATCGGATCATTTCCATTGAGTGTCTCCATTAATATCATTCTCACTAAGCTGCCCTCACTTTCTACACCTTCTGCATCTTCAAAAACAAGGAGCTGGTTGTTGTTTTCTGTGTAGAATCATCATTTTAGAGCTTGAAAAAACCTTAAGAAGCCCTGTAGTCCATCACCTTCATTTTTACAAATGAGGACATGTCTGGCTCAAAGGTGTTTTCTATCCCACATCTTCAAACTCTAATTCTAGTGCTCTTTTGACTATAGCATGAAAGCTGAGGGTTACGACTCATCTCATCTAGCTGGAGAACTGACATAAACGAGCAGCATGTCCCATGTTAATATAAAACCTATTTTTTAAACTGACTCTGATGCTGATTCAAAAGCCCAGAGTCCAACCAACTATTTGACTTAGGGTTAGAAAATTCTTTGTAACTCCTATTATTTCTCTGGATGGATTCTACCAAAAATACTCCAAGGGTCCTGGGGGAAAGTCAGGGCTCTGAAACCAAGTCTTTCCCAATTGATATGCAAATGAAATTAGGAAATAGGCAAAGACCATACTCTCCTAATGTCCTTGTGCAAATTTCTGCCTATATTATATATCTCAGCAAGCAATAAAACCTCCTTAATTCTTCTCTGTGTTCTTATGAGGGGAAAACAAAACAAAACAACAACAAAATAACCTTCTAGTCTCCCTACGTTAATAAAAATAGAATCTCTTAACTTTAAAGCCAAGAGTTTATATTCACATTTTTTACAGAGTGTATTAAATACAGAGTATTAAACAAAAATGTATGGGGAAGCTGGATATTGATGTGTTTTCAGATCAGAAATAGAATAAAGGCAGTTAGCTTCCCATTGCTTCCCAACTGAAACAACTATCACTGATCATTTTCTCATCATTAATCATGCCAATTAACAAGACCTGAACCACTGACATAATGGGATTTCTGTTCTTAAAGCCTGTAAAATTTTAGATGTGGTTGATGACAACCCTCATCAATGGTTCCTTCATATTTTATATTATTCCTTAGTATTTTTGTTAAAGAGCATAATCCATAGTTCTTCTACATGGTTCATTATTCCGTTCATTCAAATCGTCAGTGTTTGTTTTTACTCAAATATGTTTTTATTATTATGTTCTATATCTCTTAGACTAGGTTCCATTGCTTAAATTAAGAAGTCAATGAGTTCCATTTCTTTCCTCTTTTTTTCTCTCTCTCCTCTTCTGACTCCAACTTGGCTCTTGATTTCTCTTTTCTCTTGCTAATTGATTAGTTTGCAGTAAGGGAGAAAATGTCTCCCTTCCCTGCCATAGGATCAATTCCCAGATAAAAAGTTATATAGGTTCTAAAGCACATGTTTCTTTGACTTCAAGAATGATTTTTAAAAAATGAATGAATGTCTAAAACACTTATTTGCTGAGCACTTTGGCAAGTAGCCTAGAAACAAAGAAAAGGTAAGCTAGTCCCTGCTGTCAAGGAACTCACATTCTAATGGAGGATACAACCCATGTGGAATCATTTATTTAAAGCTAAAAGATAGTTTAGAGACTAGTCTAGTCCAACTCTTCCATTTTACAAAGGAGGAAACTGAGACCCAGAGAGTTTAAATGGCTTTTCCATTGTCACATAGCTGATAAATGGAAGAGCTGGGACTCAAGCCGACATTCTCTGACTCCAAATCCATAAACATTCCCCTGCATTCACACTGCCCCCTCCCCCAATCCTTCTATGGTCCCTGTCCAATCCCCAGAATTTGAGTAAAAATTGGAAATGTTGAGTTGTTAGGAAAATGTCACATGGATGGATATATGCACCAGAGCACCTTGTCTTTGCAGCAGGTTTATGTGTGGAAAGAAATGGCTTGACATTTTATCATATCTCTGTATATTGATTTGTGCTCTGGGAAAATTCAATGAGCTTTCTTTTAACTGAGCAGTGAACGCTGTGATTCTCAGTTTGCTGGAAGGCAAGTGTAAAAAGACACTTTCATAAAGGACCTAGTTCAGAGGCCTCCTCAGTAGGCAGTTGAGATGTGTTTATCATCCTCTTCCCAAGTATCGGTAGTGTGAGGCCTCTGGAATGATTGATTTTTAATAGATAGTCTCAAAGTGCAACATGCCATGTGAAAATTAGAGTATTGGTCTGTACAAATAAGCAATATTTCTTTATAGAAGTGCATTGCTTTTACTCTAATTTCTGAGCTGCCGTAGGCCATTTGCATTAGTTAATTAAATGCAGTGTGATAAAGTAGAAAGAAGAAAGCCAGAAAGACATGGATATGAATCCTATCTCTGACCCTTTCTGGCAGTTTGACCTTGGACAAGTCAGAAGCTGCTGAGGAGTTCAGTGGATGGAGTGCTGGGCCTGGGCTTGGGAAGATCTGAGTTCAAATAAGGCCTCAGACATTTACTAGTTGTGGGACCCTAGAAAAGTCACTTAACCTGTGTTTGTCTCAGTTTCCTCAAATACGAAATGATAATAATAGTGCCTACATCCAGGGGTTGGGAGGATCAGATAATATTTGCTTAGCACATAGTGAGCTCTCAAAAAGAAAAAGTTATTCCCTCCTTAATTTAATCCCTTTAAGCTTCAGCTTCATCCTCAGCAAAGAGGTGCTAATAATTTTGCTTATTTCACAGAGTTCTTGATGGTTATACAATGTTACTAAATAAAAATCACTATGTGAATATCAGCCATCATTAATAATTGATATTTATATAGAAGCAATAGCAACATTTATATATACATAATATTTTAACAATGGGAAAGTATTTTATATGTGTATACATATATATATATATACACACAGACATATATATGCATATATGTATATGTACATATATGTGTATACACACACATATATGTTCTCATTTACTCCTCAGAGGAATCCTATAAAGTAGGTCCTATTATGATCAGCATTTTATAGATGAGGAAACTGAAGGTCAGAGAAGATACCTGTCCAAAATCATGGTTAATAACTGAGGTAGGATTTGATCTCAGGCCTTACTCATTATGGGGACAGTTAGGTAATGCAGTGTATAGGTCACTGAAGAATCAACTTCATGAATTCAAAGCCAAACTCAGACCCAGCTGTGTGACTCTGGGCAAGTCACATCACCCTGTTTGCCTCAGTTTCCTCATCTGTCAAATGAGCTGGAGAAGGACATGGCCAACCGCTGCAGTGTCTTTGCCAAGAAAACCCCAAAATAGGGTCACAGAGAGTCAAACATGACTGAAACAACTGAACCCCAAAACTTCTCAATGCTTTCCAAATCCTGTCCTTTCCTGAACTTCCTTATTTCTGTTGAGGGAACCATCGTTTTCTTAGTCACCAGGTTCACCCAAGATCCAGCTGTGTAACCAGTATGTCCTCATCACATAGTTACCGGGACAGATTAGAGAATGTCTGAGTATGCTCCAAGGTCCCCATGGGGAAAGGAATCAGTCAAGTACTCTGCGCGTGCTCATAAGATCAGTCCCCTGTTACAAAGGAAAAATGAAGTGTTCTTTTTTAAATCCATTGTTCTTTTTATTACTCTTGTCTGGGTTTTTTTTCAAAAGCTCCCATGATCCTCAGTTTGTAGAGTCTACTTGTGGTTTTGTCAGAGCTCAAGACAATGAGAAAATAGCTTTGAAAGGCATTACCATCACTAGGAATGGGAACAGGCAATGTGAAAGAAAATATCAATTAGCCAAGCAAATTGTGCTTCACCAGGGCTATCATTTGTGTCACAGACAATTAGTAGCTTAGAATTTACAAATGAAAAATAGAAAGCCTCTCATGTGAACAATGGGATATCGATACAATCAGTCTGTAGCAGCTATTCAACATCATGGTGCAGAGGAAAGGGTATGGATAGGAGAATCAGAAGACCGGAAACACCAGTGCCTGCAACATAAAAAGTGTTCAAAACGCTTACTGATTGACTGACTGATTAAAATCCTGCCTCTAACACTCTGACGCCTAGTGACCTAAGATGAGTCATCTCACCTGGGCCTGTTTCCTCATCTGTAAAACTAAGACTAAACAGGATGACCTCTGAGGTCCTTTTATCACTATAATTTATAAGACAAAATTTGTCACTATAATTTATAAGACAAAATTCTAGGTTGATTAAAAAATAGTGGCAACAAGGCCCAGATCTGTATAAAATCTTAATAGGCACAAAATTGTGATCAAAACCATTGTGACAGAAGTCTGATTAACAATTAGGTTTCTTTGACAAGCATAGAAAAGTTACTGCTTGTCTCTTAATAGATGACTGGGAGATGAGAGCAAGTCAATCACAGCACAGATCAAGGACTTCATTGCGGCACATAGTTTCAATCTTTAATCTTCTATTAGTAGATACATTTGGTAAATTTTCTCTAGCAGCTTCATTATTTGTTTATTTATCTAGCTATTCATCCATCCGTCTATCGATATATTATCCATTGTTTTTCTTTTTCTTGCAGGCTGAAGTCATTGATGTGAGGTATGGGACTGTAGAAGATGTAAGCCAGATTCGAGTGATGAAAAACGTGACCAATAGGATTGCCCTGTTAAAAATAGGAAAACTCCCTTTACTCTACAAGGTTGGTCGAAGAACTCTACTGCATGTGAATTGTGTGGTTTTTTTTTCATCTTTTTCTGTAGCTAAAATTACTGGGCATAATTTTTGTTAAGGAACTTGATGCCTATTCCCTCCACCTCAATGGGAAACCCTATAACGTGCTATTGAGGTTGCAAAACATGGATTCAGATTCAATACTGTGAAAAATAGAAGGCCTGGAAATGAAAAGCCATTGTCATCCTCTTCACCTCACATGTGTAATAGTTCTAATCAGTTAGGAAAACAGGGATGTGAGTGCATGTTCTGTATAGGACCAGTATTGTCTAAGATATATCTATATATATCCATATATAATATCTTCATATATACATAAAGGTATAAGATACCTTTCTGATATATTTCATCATCTGCTTGAGGTGGGTATAACTATACTTCTCTCAAGAATTTAATTAAATGATGATGTGCTAAAGAGAAGCTGAATTTTGATTGATTTTTTATTAAAATGGAAGTTTATTAACACTTATCCATTGGCTACATTTGCATAATTAAAGCAGTTCAAACTATGTGTCTGATAATGAGCAAACACAATAGGAGACTCTTACCATTAACTCTTATCTAGTAATTTTTTTTTCTCCTATTAATTAGACAAGGGGAAGGGACCACTGGAACTTCCTGGTTTTAGAGAAATTTTGAACCTCTCCCTTTATCTTTTCTCACTCATTTGTCCAAAATATGAATGGGTTTTTCCTCTTCTCAAGTCACTTCAACCCCAGTCTGTTCCTCAATTGTTGGTATTCTGTAGGGGAATGTTATATGGGGAGAAGAGAGGGGGAAATTGGGAAGGAGAGATGGAAGAATAGATTTCTTCCTTAGTATTTGCCAAAAATTTCCCTACATTAAAGGCAGATCCTCTCAAAACTGGTCATCAGTGATATATTCTAGTTACCTGTCAAAAAAGATGAAGGTAAGTTATATGTTTTCTAAGTCATAACAACTCAGATTAACTTAACAAGTATTTGTTAAGCGCCTACTATGTGCCAGGCACTATGCTAAGTGCCAGAGATACAAAGAAAGGCAAAAAGAGCCCCTGACCTCAAGGAGCTTATGTTCTAATGATGGAAACGACCCACAAAAAACTATATACATATAGACAAAGATATTTTAAAGCAAACTCAGAAAAGCCACTGGCATTGAAAGGGACCAAGAAGGGCCTCTTACAAAAGATAAGAAGCCAGGAGATGGAAACAACAGAGAGGATCATTCTGGGTATAATCAATGAAAATGCACAGAGTCCAAAAATGAAGGCATATGTGCATTTTAGATGCTTCAATATTGTTCAGTTGGTTTTCAGTGATATCCAACTCTTCATGACCCAATTTGGGGTTTTCTGGGCTGAAATAGTGGATTGGTTTGTCATTTCCTTCTTCAGCTCATTTTACAGATGAGGAGACTGAGGCAAATGGGGTTAAGTGACTTGCTCAGAGTCACACAGCTAGTAAGTATCTGAGGCTAGATTTGAAAGCAAGTCTTCCTAACCCTAGACCTGGCACTCTATCCATTGAACAAACTACTGTCCATTCCAGATATTAGCCGGGTTGAAATATGTCAGGATTCTTTTGCTGCTCCTGTCTGCCAAGTATTTGCATTTCACAGAGAAGAATAATGTTATGAAACTCTTGGAACATGCCTGTAAACATAGCACAGAACTGTAACAGACAAGTTTCAGGTGTGATTTTCAGTTGGATTGGCTCCTTGTAATCCATCTATATCATGATATGATTGACAAAGAGGCAAAAGCATTGATGGTTGCCATCATTAGCCACACAGGCCAGTGGTGCTGATCTCTTTGACCAAAAGCTATGTGTGGGAGCATCCTAGGTCAGAAAGTTCTACCAGTGAGCATATCCACGTGGGCTTGACAAGACATTTAGCATTATCTCTGAGGCAGAAAGACATGAATTCTTGAACTGTTGATCTTCTTTTGCTGAATATTAGTATTCTCTTCATTTTCTTTTACTTGTCCTTCCATATTGTTGGCATGTTTGCTGCTATATTTGTTTTATTACATTTAGTCTGTCAAAAAAGTAAGCATAAATGTGAATAAAATTGGGATAGGGATGGTGCCACGGTCCCAAGTGCTCCAAAACTCCATCAAATATTTCTCTGAGATTAGATGCTAAGAATCTACAGCTGGGATAAGAAGGGCAGGGAACCAAATGACTTCTGTGTTAAACATATCTATTAATCATGCCTCTGATTGAGCATCTGGACTAGGAATCTGCAACAGGATGAGTAAGGAGAAAAGTTAAACCTATGTCAGTTTGGGACAGTTACTAAATCATAGTTCAAAAAATAAATTGGGGAGGGACTTTATATGTTGGAGATAGGGAGGGCAAAGGGGACGTATAATTGTAATATGAAATCATTTCCTAAAATGAATAGAAAGGAAGCTGCAGACAAGAAGGAGGGTAGCTCATTAGTTTTATCATAAATGCTATATATGTTTTAATTCATGCTCCAAGAAGGGATTGATATGGAAACCTTCACATTTGGCCGAAAGAAATGGAAATGAGAAAAGAGCTTCAACAAATGTGCCTGGACACAGGCACGGACATGACTGGTAGAGAAAGAAATCTGCTTAGGACCTCCCCACAGAAGGGTTGTGAGAAGGAAACTTATTTCCTTAAACTTACATTTATGAGAAATGGCTTTAATTTTATTTGGTCTTTAAATTAATAGATGTTTCCCTTATGGGGGAGTGTTTTATTTCCAAAAGTTCTATGCAAATACTTCTTCTATTGCCCTATGTGTCTTGGCTTAATTTCTCTCTTTGCCAATGGGAAATATATCATATGGTATCAAGAATAGAGAAATGTTAGATTTAAAGATTATAACAGTGTAGTAAAGTTCTCTACAATTATAGGTTCTTCCAGGGAGATTTATTATTTAACAAGAGGTAGACACTGCTTGTGTAGAGAAAAAATTGGGAATGTCAGAACAAATTACAGTATGCGAATGTAATATGAATGTAATAGATGGGTGGAATTTAGAGGAATTTGAAGAATCTTGGAAAGACTTGCATAAAATGAAACAGATTGAGGTAAGGAGAATCAAACAATTTATACAATGAATACAATAATGCAAAAAAGCACTAAAGAAATAAATTCATTTTAATGTAATGATTAATCTTAATTCCAGAGGATGGAAGATAAAATATGTCAATTTTTTTTGTTCTTAATAGAGAGGAAGTGGTCTAGGGCTATAAAATGTTACTTTTTCCATCAGTCTTGGTTGATGTCTTGATTTATTTTGCTTAACGGTTTTTGTTTTGTTTTTATTTACAAGGCAGGTTCTTTGTGTGATCAAAAGAGATAATCTTTCCTAAATACTTAGGACAGTGTCTGGTACCTAGCAGATGCTTAATAAATGCTTATTGCCTTATGCCCCCGAAAGTGACCCTGATATTTGAAAAAAATAAAACCTAAATACATATTTTTACTATCTGTTTCTATCTCACCCAGGCTAGAAGTGCAACAGCTGCTCATGGCCTTGATCCCAGTACTGATTAGCATAGAAGCTTTAACTTGCTCCATTTTTCCAACCTATATTGCTTTTCCTTCTCTTTAGGAGCTTGGTGACTTTCCACCCCAGAGGTTCACTATATTTGTGTTTTACTCAGTGTAGATGCCCAAATAGCTTTAGCCCTACTATAATTAAGAACTCTTAAACTCAAGCAATCCACCAACCTTATCCTCTCCCAGTAGCAGGGATTATAGGAATATACTATTATGCCCAGCTGAAAACATGTTTTTTAAAAAAAGAATTTTAACCACAATGAACTCCTCAAATATTTACCGATATGCAAAATCCATAATACGATCTATGAGGGCAGATAGGAAACAGAAGACTGATTGCCATTCAGTACTATAACTAGGGTAGGGTAGCAGTAGCTTTTCCTCAGGATTTAGAATGTAGAGGGTGCAGATATTGCTAGGGACAAAATTTAAAAGTTAAAGATAGCACTTAAAGGCTTTCTTTAGAAACAATATTTTAATTTATCACTGAATTTGCAAGAATAATTAGTTAATCTTAGAAGCAACCAGATGTTAAACTGTTCTGAGATCCTTCTCTACTCTGTTCTTAAAGTATCCAAAGCAACTTCTTACAGTATGCAAAGGTCTCTGTCTTCCCCTATAGCCAAACACACAGGATAGAATAATAGCCTCCCCATTCCCCACACTGTGGCCATACTTTGGGCCACTTGTCCTCTATGTAAAACTCTCTTGACATTTCCTTGCTGCAGGTATAAGCCCGAGGCCAAATGAATCCCTTTTTTCTATTTTAAACTTGAGGATAAACTATGACCAGGGGGTTATATGATGTTCAAATTGGGATTGTCAAGGGCATTTTGTTTGTCTTAATTCAAGTTCAATCCATATTTAATTTTACTTAAATTTAAGAAAATGTGATATATATATATGTGATTTACATATATATATAATGTGTGTATACACACATATAATTTACAGAGGGATACTTTTTTTTTTATAGTCAATGCTATGGAAGCTATCAATGATCTTTCTGAAAACAAGGTAAAAGCTAGAGAGACTTTTCCAGTGTCTACCCATTTAGTTCCCAAATAGACTATGTCTTAGACCAAGAAAGATTTCCTGTAGTTTACTCTCCATCAAAGAATATAGTTGATTTGGGGAAATGTGTTTTAATCTAGCCAGGTTTATATCTTTGTTTATCATGTTGTTCAGTTGTTTAAGTTGTGTACAACTCTTTATGACACCATTTAGGGATTTCTTGGCAAAAATATTGCCATTTCCTGCTCCAGCTCATTTTACAGATGTGGAGACTGAGGCAAACAGGGTTAACTGACTTGCCCAGGTCAAACAGCTAGTAAGTGTCTAAGACTAGGTTTGAACTCAGGTCTTCCAGACTCCAGGCATTCTATCCACTGAGCCACCTAGCTGCCCCTTGTTTATATAATCATTAATTGGATCTTCACAGGAATGT